TAGAAACAATTCTGTATAATATTTCTTAATTCCTTTTAGTTTCCAGCAATTTTTGATATTAATGTAATTAAACATAAAAAATACTTAAAACTGGAAAATACGAAAGAAATGCGTTAATTTTGTAGAAAAAGCTTCAAATTTTATTTTCCATTGTCTCGCTTTTCTGTGAAATTTGACATCGATGAGTCATTGCGTTTACAGCTGGATGACTTTGAGAACAGCTGGTGTTGGATTTCCCGGGAAATTCTCATAGAAGTCTCGGGAGGCGAAAGGTTTAAAGTAGGGTGAATACTAGCTGGCCGTATATTTTTAAAAAATTAAAATTTTTATTGCGCTTTCCAACCCCCCCCCCGACTTAATTAAATGTATATATAATAAAATATATTAATTAAAAAATTATTGGATGCCGTTTTTGATATCAGAAAGTAGCTTTAAATAACTTCACCGAAGTAAAATCCGTGAGAACGATTTAATAAATTTGATAATTGTTTTTAATGGGATTTTTTTTAAGTTAATCGTGCGTCATTCAAGGTAAATTAAAATCGCGATAAAATTTTTTCGCGCGGGTAAAAATTTTGAAAAAATTTGGAGATTTAAAAAACATTCCAAAAATCCAAAAACAAAATTTGGGGGCCGAAAGGGCCGAGTTTTCTGTAACGCTATGTAACCTGCCCGAGTTAACTCGGGCTAAGAACTAAAATTAATTAATTAAAATATTTATTTTTAAAACTGTTTTGCGAACACTTAAATATTTTTGTCAACCTCCAGCCTCGATTTGAAATTGCCGGTCAAGCCGACCCAATACCGCCCAGTGGCAAATTATCACCCTATTCCCCTAAAATAGGGATAGTACCGACCAAGTGCAATGTGGGCCCTTATACCCCGTTTGCACCGGGTATTTCGATCTAGATTGTGACCAAGGTCGGAGACTGTTCCGTGGTGCGACCTCTCTCGACCGTTTCAATCTCGACTGAAACGAGGTTAAATCGCGATCGACTCGAGAGAGTTCTTGAAACTAGATCCAGTCATAAGAGAGATCCCACAATCCCACGCGCGCGAGAAAATACAATATGGCTGCTGAACACGTGTCCAGCTATCGACAGAAAAATAAAAAAGATATCTGGAGAGACGATGACATCTGTCTATTATTAAATATGCGGCAAGAAAAAGTATTTATTTATAACCAAAACTTCCATTTTGTTTGTTGGTGTTCGTGACTTACCGCGTAGTTATGTCAGTCTTATTATCGCGTGTAATAGTCGGGTTCTTCTCGAGCGGATTGCCTGTGCGAACAGCATGACGTACGACTGGCGACAGTCACAATTCAGATTGTAGGTAAATCGAGATAGAAGTGAGTCGTGGATTGTGTGCGAACGTAGTATTAGCCTCGAGTTTTTCGTGTTGTACTCGAACTGACGTCATCGAACTCGCTGGTGTTACTATGCGTGCGTTTACTTCTGACAAGGGAACTGTCGGAGTGGCATCTAATAAATTTTAATAAAATTTAGTTAATAGTTACGTTAAAAGTATACAAACTCTATATTAAATTTGTAGTATTCACTAAAAGAGTTAATCAGAGTTATTAGCAATCAAATGTCGTACTATTTTATATGCGGATTTTTAAAAGTGAAAGGGTCGCGGAGGAAGACGGCGATATTACATTTAGAATAAATTCTGGAATTTTCGAAAATGGGAGAAGAATTAATAACATTTAGTTAATAATTATGTTAAAAGCATGCAATCTCTATATTAAATCTGTAGTACTTACTAAAAGTATTAATCAGGATTAATAACTATTAAATGTCGTACTATTTTATAGTAGTTTAATACGAATATGCAGATTTTTAGTAGTGAAAGGGTCGCGGAGGAAGGCGGCGCTATTACATTTAAGAATAAATTTCAGAATTTTCGAGAATGGAAGAATTAAACGTAAATATTCAAAACATTATAATAGAATTTAAACGTTTATGCGATAACGTTTGGCCTACAGAAAAGATTTGTAGGCCTAATATTTCAGACGTTGATAAACAGGTAGCCAAACTGCTTTTTAATGCATTTAGCGATATTTTAAGTAGCTATATAAGTAGAGATGACGAAGAGTTTTGTCAGAGGGAAAATAATAATTTGTTTATAGATAGGCCTATTTCAGATAATAAAATAACATGTCTGCTTCAAGAAAAAGAAATTGATAACGCAGACACTGACTGTGAATCAGGATATTCAGATGATGAAAAATGCGATAAAAATATAATCTCAAGAAAACGAAAAGAAGAAATTCTTAACTTACATAAGAAACACCCAAAATGGAAATTACATACATTACAGCGGAAAGGAGCTAAAGAATTAAAACGTTTTAGTGATTTATATAAATGGGAAAAACAATTTAAATCTAGAAAGCATAGAATTGAAACGTTAAAAATCATTAAAGAACATACTAAACAAATGTTTGACGAAACTCGAGACAGCTATAAAATTGTTAAAGGTAATCAATTAAAAATATGGGCATTACAGAAATTTCTTCAACTGAATAGTTCAATTAAATTTACAGCTAGTGATTCCTGGGTTGCAAAATTTAAAAAAGAATATAGATTAGCATCTCGAAAGATTACAAAACTTGTAAATAAAACAGAAATAGTGAACGAAAAGTATATTTTAGTAAAAGCTGCGCGATTTCAAACAACAGTAAAAAATTTATTGCCATCTTATTCGCGAAACTTCATATTCAATACGGATCGGTGTGGTTTTTTCGTACGAAATGATTTCACCGAGGACACTTTCATATAAAGGAGAAAAACATACTATTGGATTTGCACATTCTCCAAGTAATAAAGTTACGCATTCCTACACCGTTCAATATTTAATTAATGCTAACGGACAAGTTGTAGATAATGTATTTATTTGCTTACAAGAGGCTCACGGAACTTTTNTCTCCCATTTTCGAAAATTCCAGAATTTATTCTAAATGTAATATCGCCGTCTTCCTCCGCGACCCTTTCACTTTTAAAAATCCGCATATAAAATAGTACGACATTTGATTGCTAATAACTCTGATTAACTCTTTTAGTGAATACTACAAATTTAATATAGAGTTTGTATACTTTTAACGTAACTATTAACTAAATTTTATTAAAATTTATTAGATGCCACTCCGATAGTAAAATTAGCCCTTGTGAGTTAATTTTACTATCAGCACGCTCAGCCTGTATACTTTCGTCCGAGTGCCACGCTCATTGGCGTTTACTTTAGAGCTATGTGACGTCATGTTTAGCGAAATTGGTAAGCTCGGAGTGATAGATAGTTCGTTGTCGAGCTTTGTGCTAATTCAATATGGCTGCTCTCATGAAAAAAATTACTTTCTATACAAAGTACTAAAAAATGGAATTAGCTTTCGAAAAATAAACAGCAGAAAGTATTTTTATTGGTAAATTTCAATTATTTGTTGTGTAAAATGTTTACAATGATCTTTTTTTCATTGTAAGGTTCAATAGCTTTAGATGACTTTTTTCATAAACAGTTAATGTGAAAAAAAATAAGTTCGATTCATTGTTTACGATTAAAAGTGAGGTTTACCTAATAGCATTTGGAATCTTCAGAAATGTTATATTCAGAGCATTAAATAAATCGTAAAGAAATGAACAGCATTAATAATAATCCAAAATTACACAAGTTTTTATACTTGAATGAATTTTCACTTACAATTTCTTGAGAAGTCATTTCCCATATGTATCATTTGAATACCATTTTTTCATTACAAACTAAACTTATATGATGACAGAATAATACTTATTTCTATTGAAATAGGCTACTGCTTCTTCAGTTGATGTCTTAATAGCCATATGCTTTTCATCAATAGAGCCTCTAATCAGGGCTGTGGAGTCGCGTAAAAATCTACCGACTCTGACTAAAACTCCACAACTCCGACGTGTCTCTCCATTATTTTTCCATTTTATCCGCAATGACGATAATTCGATTGTATTACTGTACAAGGTCTGTTCAAAAAGTATCGGACCTTTGGTCGGCAAAATTTATTGACTTTGAGGTACAAAACCCTAATCCCCTTCAAAGTAGTCTCCTTGGTAATGTATACACTTCTCCCAGCGTTCCTGCCATTGCTGAAAGCACTGCTGGAACGCATTTTCTGGAATGGCCATCAGCCGGTCCGTCGCATTTCGCACGATGTCTTCTCTCGACTAAATTCGTGTTCCTTTTAGCGGCATTTTCAGCTTGGGAAATAGCCAAAAGTCACACGGAGCCATGTGGGGAGATTACGGAGCGTGACGAACCACAGGAGTGTTGTGTTTGGCGACGAAAGCCTGAATCAGATGCGCAGAATGGGCGGATGCGTTATCACGATGGAGCTGCCAAGTTTTGATCGACCACAGATCCGGTCGTTTGCGTCGCACTGTATCGGAAAGACGACGAAGGACCTCCTGGTAGTACTCCTTTGCGATGGTTTGGCCTTGTGGTGCGTACTCACGACACACCACCCCACGAGAGTCGAAAAAACTGTCAACATGACCTTTGATATTGCTGCAGACCTGCCGCGCTTTTTTTTGGCCTCGAGGATCGTCCCCGAAAGCCTGCTGAATCTTGCGAATGATTTACACTCGGGGATCGCCAAGGTTTTTGGCAAAATTTGATGTAATACCGCTGCTCGCGTTGTTCAGTCATTTTTTCAGCTTAGTGGAATCCGACGAGAGCGCTCTACATGACCTCACTCATAGGCCGATTGCCAACGACTGACGCTTCCTGCAGGCGGGAAAAAATTCAGAGATGTGCATGACTGTCCCCTCCACAACTCCACCAAAGGAGGCCTCTCGCGCATCATTGGTTTACGCGGAAAAAAATAAGGTCCGATACTTTTTGAACAGACCTTGTATTTTAAAACACAGACCATCTCATTCCTGTGATAAAAACGTGTAAAGAAATAAAAACGTACAAGAGGACGTGCGTTCACTTTCCAGACTCGTAAATATTAACTCAAGACAAGACTCTCGTTCCAATTTTATTTATTTATTTTTATTTGGTTTATCAATTGAAAATATTCTTTCAAATAACAAAGAATTCTGCTCTATTTAAATATTCCTACGAATAGTTTTATATGTTGAACCAGGGTGGAAGATCTGCCCTATTTTCGTTCCAGATATTCTTCTTGTATTCGTTCACTCTCTTGTCGAAATCTTTCAATTCCTTTTCTTCTTCCTTCTTCTTTTCCTTCGGAAACAACTCGGGAAATTCGAATTTATACTCTCTAGGCTGAAAAAAAACAATTATTCTACCATCATTCATTCGAAGATTACTTAAGAAAATCTCTCAACGGAATCGTTCTTAGTATCGACTTTCTTACTTAATGAAGTTATTTTAATCGAAGTCCACTCAACTGCACTAAAGCTACTGCAAACATCATGTCTCAACCACATTCTGAAAATTTATCGGTAGGAGACATTACATAATTAAAAACTATTAAGTATCTTTCTAATTAATGTAAAGTTTGATTATATATATATATATATAATATATCAACGATTATAAATGAGAATGTTTGTTTGTTGGCTACACACTCCTGGACCGTTCGACCAATTGCTACGAAACTGGGCATTTACGTTAACACACTTCTAATTTAGATAATGCCATAAATATCACCCAAAAATATCGATTGGATTTCTATAAATTGATTAATTTCTATCTACATTAGATTTGCTGGCTTTACACGTAGCGTCGTCTATTGGAAAAAACTTAAGAAAATAATAAACTAAATCTAATTCTTACAAAAGATATAATTTAAAAATATATACTATTATATTCACCAAATAACTGCAACAATGATATAGCANACTTAAGAAAATAATAAACTAAATCTAATTCTTACAAAAGATATAATTTAAAAATATATACTATTATATTCACCAAATAACTGCAACAATGATATAGCACAACTATTTCGCAATATATCATTAATGCAGTATGTAGTAATGATATAGTTCAATATGTAAACGATATATATACTTTCCATTCCACATCACTTACCTGCATGGAATGGAAAGTATCACATAAGTCTTCCTGAGATGCATCCCCCTCGGCAGATCGCTCACGTGTCGTGTTGCCCTAATTAAACAAACTAAACTAATTCTAACGAGCAATTATTTATTGTGGCATTGTGAAAAAGCTAGGCATTAATTTTTTGACATAATGTTCTCAATTCTTTTAGCAGTGTCTTGTCGGAGCAGCAGGAAAAGTATAATGTACAGGGACTGTACATTATACTTTTCCTGCTGCTCTCCATTCGGGGAGTCTGAATCAAATTCTGAATCAAAGTAACGTGACTTCTGGTCCAAACTGGAGGTTCATATATACTTAATATAGGCCTCCTGCCCCTAATCTTTTCACATCCGGTCTGGACATTGATCTAACTTCTTTCTGGAGATTATGGAAGGGCAGACAACAGGTAGATCAGCATCACATTATTATTTATTGATAACAGTCATTCCTATTTGGTTTTAGATTGGAATAAAAAAAACCCCAACAAGTGAGAAAAAGCAACCAAGCATTTTGCATTTCTTTCATAATACCATGCGTACATAACCTTTAGTCAATCAATGTCCAAATTAGTCATAGACCACCAAAATTTTCTCGTGAACTGCTGATGATCCATGAGAAAATTTTGGTTGATTTAGATTATGTGGTCTGCAGGTTTTAACAACTTCTCAAAATAAATAATCTTTTCTAGTTTTTAAATAACAATTATTCACCATTAAACTCATAAATGATGATTTGAAAGTTTTTTATTTCAATGACTTGAACTATAATGAAATTCAGATTTTTAAAATTATTTTGATCAAATTACTTTAATCATATTTTCTCAAAACAAAGGAATAATTTCAGCCTATCATTGCTTATATAGTTGTATTCTAAATGCTTCAGTGGGGTAATTAGCTATGTGCTTGTGAGATATGATTCAAATTTTTTGGAGTCATTCTTTCTTCTGTACCTTATTTAATGATTAGTTGCAATTCATGTTATAATAAATTATTAACTGTTTTGATAAAAAAAATTATCACAGTTAATAGTTCCCCACTGCTGGCTTGGCCAAACTGATAATGGACAAGGCAAAAACAGTTTTTAAAAAATATTCAACTTTGATTAAAAAAAAAAAAAAAAAAATAGGCTCTCAGTGCTCATAGCCTAAAATATTTTAGCAAGTCCATTATGGATTTGGCCAAGCCAACAGTGGGGAGGCTTGGTGATGAGGGATGAGGCCCAAAATACCCAGACAGACTATTCCTGTGATTTTTTGACCCGTCTGACCTTCAATCCCAGGTCCTCCAGATTGATAGGCTGTCACCTAAACTGCTAGGTCTTATGGTGTCCAAAACAGAACCTAAACAAGTAACAATATCTAAGAAATAAAACTTACATAACACTGTCTGCTTTAGTTTTATTGCATTTTTATAGTGATAAAATTAAAGCATTTTGTACAAATTTTTAGTGGGCATAGCATTTTTATTAATTGATTATGGAGTTTAAATTTATATTTTAAATGTAAATGAGATTATTACAGATATACTAGAATATAGTACTATGTGATTTGCCTGTTGCTTGTGAATGGTACACAAATTAGGAACATCTTAAATTTAATATGGTACATAAGTTAAAAGAATTTCTAAGAAAGGTTTTAAGAATAAATGAATAAATCATATTTAATTACAAAAACAAAATTTGTTTAGTTAATCATTCAAAAATTTAAATTTTCTTAGATAAATTTACATTATTAAGAATAATATAAATAATATAGTGTATGACTTTTTACATTACAATTCATTTAATAGTATTTTTAAAATGTAAACAGAGTTGCTAGTTTAGTAGAAAATCCATCAAATGTAGTGGCAATATCAAAATTTAGCAGAAATTCTGCTGGGTAATAATTTTTAGTAGGGGCAAGTTAGTTGGTTGAAAAGCATTTTGTATAATTTTTAGTGGGTTAAAAAAAATGAAAAAATTCAATATTTTCACAGTACTTCCAATAAAAAAAAAAAAAATAGATAAGAATTAAATAGCACAAAATCTGACAAAAATCATGTGCAGCTTTTTCATTGCATTTATATTATTATCTTGGTTTTTAGTTTTTCACTAAAATCTGAGACTGACAATGTTACATGTTAAAGCCTAAGCCAATAGGAGTAATTTGTTCTCAAAAGAAATTTATTCACGTCATAAAACAGTTTGATATACTATTGTTGTTGTGTGTTCATCTGTCAAATGATGAAATGAAAATCTCAGAATGATAGCAAAAAGACAAATGTATAGGCTAAAGTAGTATAAAAAATAGAGAACTGTTCTGGAACTAAACTTTAGTTCCAAAAATGTCTGAGTCTGTAAAATTTGAAACCAACTAGTACAATCTATAAATACACTGAATCATTATTAATTCCTGCAACTTGTTTTTACTGGAGATATTTAGCTTCATTAACAATACAAATTAAATTAATTATTTTTAAATTAGTATGATGTAATTTGTTTATACATATTGTTAGGTATTATAAGCATGGAATCATTTTTTGTACTTTATTTCAAAATAAAAGTGAAAGTGCTATTAGGCTTGAAGGTGAGCTTTTCTCCATTAAATTCAGAAAAAAATTGAAACTAAAAAATTAATAACTTAGATTTATAATTTCTAAAATTAATTCCAAGATTTTGCCCAGGATTTTTAAATGTATAACAGCATAATGCCAATATGAAAAAGAAATGATGCATAAGTTTGGTAAACATTTTTAGAGTTGGAGAGTTTTAAAGCATTTTATGTTTTATCTTTAATAAAACGTTTTTAATGAAAACTCAGGCATGTTTCTTGTAACATAAAATATATATTCTAAATGTAACCCTTACTTTAAATATTGATGAGTTCCTGTCAGCAGCATGATATAGAAGGCTTTCTAAACTTATGTTTCCAATGCTTAAATGCATCACACTCACTTATGTTAGATATTAAATATTTTGCTTTATATACATAATATGAAATTTTAGTAATGGTAAATATTAGTGAGTTTTGTCCTTAAAAAGATGGGTTTCATCAGTAGTTTCATTAGGTTTATCAGAAAGAAATTTGATAATGCTGATTGTAAAAGCTACATTTTTTTATAGTATTAAACAGAAACAAAATATATATCTTACTAATACAACATATGCCATTCTGTAGTCATCTTCCTTTCTCAGATGACCAAAATATTCATTTTTCTTAATTTCACCTAAAAAATATAAATGATTTAAAATATCAAAGTATGTCTTAAACAGATTCATAATAACAAACATTAAAATTATTTTGTGTGTAAAATGTTTAATTTTTTTTATATAAATGTCTTATAAAAACAAGTAACAATATATTCACCATAATAAATAGAAAAATTTACTCTTGGAGAATGTGCAACATTAATAAGACTTAGTGCTTACATATGTTATAAAAATATAATATTGAGATCAAAATTTATTTTTACAAATGTCAATGGCCACAGGCTAGTCAATTTCAAAACTTTTAATAAATTACAAATTGAGGGATATCTAATAGAATATATAACCATTACTTGGTTTGTATCTTAAATAAAATTGTTAATATTAAAAAACTAATATCTATTTTGATAGCTGCATTTAAAATTTTCAATTACAAATTAAATACAGTAGAGCATTGATTATCCGACTCAATTCGGGACTCAGGTTGGTTGGATAACTGAAAAAATCGGATAACCAAAAAGAATGAAAATACACATTATTAGTATAGTATATTAGTATATCCCATGTAATTAGTATATTAGTATATCGCTATTAACCAGCTTTGCATTGAATTTTCATCGATGTTAAGCCTAACAAATTTTTTTAAAAATAATAATCGTCATTATTGTATTGTTAAAAATCATTTTAAAATTATTTTATTGCTAACAAAACAAACAACCACTCATAATTAGAAAATTAAGTCTAGTTTAAATACTGGCCTCCCTTCGATGGTTGAGCCAGTGTTGCCAGCTAAAACATGCAAAAATTTAACAAAAATAATATTAAAGTAGCCAAGACATAGCCAAATATTGTAGTGCCACATCACTAGCGGACATTTGAAATTTGCCGACTAGAACAGTCGGTTAACTGACGTGATGGTTAATTAAAAATCACGGGTCGGATAATCAATGCTCTACTGTAATAAATTATTTTAAAATATTTATTTTTCTAATTAGTTATTTCTGTGATACAAAGTTACCTTTTATTTCCTTCACTGTATTAATACAGTGAAGGAAAATATTTATTTTTCTTCACTGTATAATTTGTAAAATATTTGTATCACAGAAATAACTAATTAGAAAAATAAATTAACAAAAAGTAGGTTTTAAAACATCTAAAACTAAAAATGTTTATAAAAACACATTTCTATTAATAAATTGCAAATTTGACTTCTTAAATTTAATGGCCAAACCTTGTTGCAAGCTTCATAGACTTTTACATTAGTAATAAATATGTCATACAAAATCTCTTCTTTTTGTAATCTGTCTATGGAAAGAATCAACTTGAAAGCAATTTCATGCAAAATGTCACTTCAGTTAAACCATTCAGAATATTCCCTAATGATGTCAGATAAAAGTCAGAAAAAATAAAATTCACATATTACCTTACATATTCAGCACTTTGCTTAATATGTAAGGTAATATGTGAATTTTATTTTTTCTGACTAAATGGCAGAATGACTTCTGTTAATGAATGCTATAAAAAAATTAACATATTAAGTGTATGATTCTTTACAGTTAATTAACTACTATAGCAAACTTCCTTGTATTTGAATATGCTTTCATAACACTGTTTACAATGGCAGTAACATGTTTAATAAATGAGGAAGAAACTAGAAGTAACTTGCCACAACTAAGTGATCAATGGCTGATGCTGATTGGTTAATTAATACCCAAGTTGATTCTTCCCATAGACAGACTTTAATAAAAATTAATTCAAATCAATAACTGTTTTAGATTCTTAAAACTAAACTTTTTTTATAAATACAATAATAGACTCTTGGTAATCTGGCATAACCTTCATTTCTAACCTATGCACTTCCGTTTTCATAAAAATGTTCATGTTACACATTCTTTTACTCAGATTTCATTTTCTGTGTACAATATTACATTTCAGCACACCATATTATTTTATCAACCTGCCTGCAAAAAGAGTTGGTACCAGAGTGACAAGTCACATCATTCATTGCAACTAGGTCCATACAATCTCAGTAATCCAGCATCCCCCTGTTCAAGGAACAACCAGATTAGCAAAAGCCTATTATAGATACATATCAGCTTTCTAGTTAATTAAAAACAAATTACATTAAACTTTTTTAAATATAAATGTTTTTAAAATTTTAGACCAAATATTCTTTTAAATAAACAAAAGTGAATGCAAAACTCACCACTCCATACTCTGGTAGTTACTTGCATTACAGGTATTTTATATATTTTTTCTAAGTAACTTTTAACATCATGGCTGGTCATCCTGTAAGAATTTTAAAATAATTCACACAGTAACAGTACTATAAAATTATACATAAGTAATTTTACTAACTACAAACTAATTTCATGAATACATTTATGCCAGTTTACATTAATGAAAAAGAAGCTCGATTTCTTGCATAATAAAGAACAAGAAAGGAGCTAGAAATAATGGCCCCTCATAAAATGTCTTACACATCAAATTCATTAAAAGATTAACTAGTTTTTGTTCGAATATAATAGTCATCCTCCAACTAAATACAGTAGATGTAAATTCAGAAAAAAATAACTGGATGCAGTTATCTATATAAAATGTTAACATACGAAAAGTTCATAACGTGGAATGGGTTAGACTGAAGCAAAAGGTATCCAGCTAAAAAAAGGTCTTAAACTTAATATTAACGAATAGACATAGATATATCTAGATGTAATTTGACACGCTGAATCGATTGGTATTAAAAAAAATTACTTACGATCAACCGTTTAAAAGTTACGAACGATTTTTTATTTCCGGCTATTTACTTCGTTTAAGAACAACTTTATTAAGAAATACGCAGGCACTCATCGATATTAACAAAACGA